GGGTGGAGCCCAAAAAGGCACCTGCCTATCACTACACCCCACCCTCGATTCCGGCGCACTTCCGAGCAACAAAAGCGGCATATTTTTACATTTGCGGATCCGATCACCTCACATATGATAGAAAGAGCACTGAGGCACTTTGTGAGCACAGTATCTTCCAAAAACCTGGAGAATTTTTTTTCAACTTCTCTCGCGCTCCTCTAGCTCTCAGCAAGGAAATTCCGCTGCAAAATGTTATAGCATCTGAGCCGTTCCCAAGTGAATTAACCTCCGCAGTAACTTACCGAGAGTAATGCCAGATTATTGGATCTCGATCTTCGTTACATTGAAAAACCCTGCGTTGCGGTAAATAGCTCCAAAGCCTTCCTCCATAGATGTCCACAATAGAAACTGAAGCTGTCTAGACTTATGTGCATGAACCGGTCAATTCTCACGAACCACAAATGACGCTTCGGTAAGCGGTTTTTCAGAAAATAGCTCAGCTCTGACCAGCTCGAATATAAGCGTCTAATGTTTATCAACACTAAATGCCTTGCTCACTGCTCAATCAGAGATCCTTCACTCACTTGTTATCACAAGAATGCTGAGTTATGGGCAAAATTCAGACCCTAGGCGGGATAGAACCCGCATCTCCCGCTGACCGGACGAGTACTCTATCCATTACGCCATGGAGCCGCTCTTATCCTTCTCACAATGCTCAGTGGTTTTCGTGCCGCAGTTCAAGAACCCTTAAATGTACGAGCCTTTAGCCTCGTGGCCCAAAAGCCATTGAGCTGAGAGAGTAAGAGCGGCCTCAGGGCGTAATTTATGGCGCACTCGCCCCGATCAGCTGGAGATGCCGCGGGTCTTATTCCGTCCGGGCGTCTGACTTTGGCCCATAAACTCACACTGTTGCGATTTAATTACGAAGCGCGCACTTTGGCGCTAAACAGCAGTTATAAGACCGAAACAACTTCAAGTCACCTCCTTTACTTCCGTTTTCTTACGCCTGCATCATGAATCATAGAACCCAAAAATTCTCCTTCTCATGGCTGACCTTCTTTCTTATCCGGTTAGAGGCTAAACCTCTACGCTCACTTAACTCGCAGCACGCACCTGCGTACTTCACAGGCCACGTCATTCCGTTGAGGAACATTGGTCATTCTTAGGAATCCATCTCTCTACATCGCTTCCTCAAGCATCAATTCTTCTTTCCGCCGCCCAAAAAGGTGTGGACATACCCGAAGGTGGCAGGGGACGGAAGCGGTACTCGATCGAATTTACAGGAGATCTGAACCTAATCTAAAGACAATGCTTTGTTTGGATATGTGTCATAGTTTGATGAGCGTCGCAATCACCCGGGGCCGTGTCAGGTAGGGTGGAATGAGCCCGCCTCTGGCAGCCTTGCTCCACGAATGGCGATCGGTCAGTGATCGGTTTAGGAAGAGAACAACCAGTAGACCGCCTGTGGGCTCATCCCATCCTCGCTCAAACTGCTCGGTGTGATTGCGTCGGTGTGGAACTGTAACAGAATTGGGTTTTGCATGGAATAGCAGCACATCGGGCACATGACTTCCACATCGTAGGTGGTACACCTACCCCCCTAGCGACGGTTCTTTCCACAACCCAATGTATGGCCCTGGACCTTCACCAAAGCTCTCACGCACTGTTTCGATATTATCGATGGAAACAGCTTGTCATGGGCGGCTAGGATAATTAGCACCATCGGTCTATCCAGATCCATCCAAGAACAAGCCGTCCTTACAATTACAGTCTTCTTTGCTGCGGATAGTGGGGCCATGTCAGGCGGGATTGGTTTGGGTTTTGAAGTGGGCAAGCGACCACACTTGGTAGAATACATGCTGACGCATGCAACAGCCAACACCTGTGACGCCCCCGTGTCCACAGCGAACAAGACCATATATCGAGCAGTGCCTGGGAGTTTTACTGAAAGCCAAGGGTTATAGATTTGGCGCTAGGGGTGGTAACGAAAGCCGTGAAGCACTCATTTGTCCGATACGGGACTAAAATACGACCCCATAAAGATTCCTCAACCAGTCGAGAGTGCTCTGTTTCCGCATTTACGTGACTGACTCTTAGCCAGCTAGCGGCTATCGTTCGAACAGCTTATACGTCAAAAGAACACTGCAGTCGTTCGCATCCAGAACCAACCGGAAAAGGTCGTCGCCGGGGATCTGTTACTATTTTAGATTAATCTCAACGTAAACATGTATTTTATAGGCTCGTTCTTTAATTCATTCTTAAATGGAACGCGGATGTGGAGATTTCGTGGTGAGAAGAAAATCCCTAGCAGCGATAGATGATCTCCTAATCATTTAGCATCCCTCATGACAGATAGCAGCTCCGTGAAGTGCATTCACAACACGAAACACCTTGTTTTGCTTAGATGTCCAATCCGCTTACTCCATGTGCGTCGACAACGGTAACGCGGAAAGGATGAGCAGCACGATAATCACTTGATGGTAGTAAGTGAGTGAGCTGATGACTGATAATTTCTCGGTGCCAGGGTAAACTGCGTCAGAGATTCGCTCTGCAAGCAAGGTAGGGGCATCTAACTAAGGTCATCGAGAGAATCCCCTTGGGGAGGAGGGGGGTCGCATTTGGTCACTAGGAAGAGAGTCGCATTTCCAGTCGAGAGAAACTTCCTTGATTGTTGATTGCTCCTGATTCAGACGAGTTATACGTTCATATATTCCTTCCCTCAACAGCAAAAATTTGGAAAATCTGGGCAAGAGGCGAATTTGCTGGAGTACACAGCGGTAGGTACCTTCGAGTAACTTCCTTATGTAGAGGGTCGTACTGACATCGCCACTTCACACATCCCGTGCAGTGGTATTACCCATCTTTCGAAAACCAAGCGGAACGGGTATCGGAGGCAAGCTTGGCTCTCAGTCATTTCCTATGCTCCGATAACTTGTCCGTTGTTCGAGAAGGATCAAAGCTGGAAGGTGAAAAAGTCGCTCAGAGCCTGAATGACGTCATCCTCGGTCTTGAAGTTCTGCAACTCCTTAAAGGCAATTCCCGCGACCACACTTCATAGGTAATACAGTTCAAAAATAGAATTGCCCTGTGATTGTTGACTTATTGAAGAGAAGGAACCACGAAAAAGCGCCCGCAGACCCTCTTTATTTCAATTGATCATGATCACCGGACGAGCGTAAGGTGGTCAAGATCGATTGTGGATTGCAAAAGGCGGCGATACACTGATAAGAGACGAGAGAGGCCAGAAAACGACGGGCGAGAGAGCGCAATGGCAATCTCACAACGACACGGTCACTGGAGGCCGGCATGGGCCTATCGCCAATGGGCCTAAAACCTGAGCGCCGCTGCGTTTTGCTTGCTGTTTTTCAACTTTTAAAAGCAGCATATCCTCTACTGTTGCCTGCTTGATCATCATGCACGTTTATGAGGTTCTAGCCTTAGTTTATCGCGGAACGTGCCTTTAAAACAGAGGAGGTGAGCACGTTCGAGTCCTGTCTTGTTACCATGAATCCAAGTATACCGACTCTGCCAGTACCAAGTCCATAGAGCTTTTCCGACCATGTAACCAGGACCTCCATGTACATACCTCCTTAAAACGCCGGAGGGCAGTCACTGCGCAACGTGGTTCGCACCGGGGCCCAGCGTAGGGTCGTATTTGGTCGCTGAAGGAAGAAGTATTCTATTATTATGCTTCTATTGTCTTTCACCGTCGTTATCCCCACGCTGATTGCAAGGAGGGGTAGTATTTGCTCGCCGCTCTTTGGAAGAGAGGCCTTGTTTTAGCGGACGCCCTGAGATATTTTTTTCAGCTGCACAGAAATTTTTTGACGCTGTTTGGATATTGCGGAATTTACTCCTCGCCTCCGCCCTTTCCCGGTTCGAAGGCGCTTTTCAGAAAAAAGGGAACAAGTTCTCGGCAGGAAATGATTAACGATTTTGCGAAGAGAAGATGGTAATAAGTGATAATGACGCTTAGAAACTTAGGCCAAGAATTTTCTCTTAACCTTCCCCAATATAGTCGCCCTGATAAACAGTAAACTCAAATGGCAAAAAGTCCTCTGGAAACAAAATGGCGCGATCTTCGAATGCAGCAGGCATAGGACCACGCCCTCCAATTGCCGGGATATGAAGTGTATGCGTTTGTTAGAAATGCTCTTGGACGAAATATCATATCCTAATGAAAGGCTGAATGCCTCAATTCAGAGAGAGGTCCTCTCGCAGTACTTTCATGATCCAACCTAATAAAGCATAAACACCCAACTACAGGCACTTTCGTATGCCTAGGGCGGTTGGCCATGCGCCATAGATTCCTTTAGGGCCGAGACTTTCCAAAAGTGAAGTTTCACTCCTGTTTTTGTGCATTCATGAAAATGGGAGACGGACAAGACAATCGTTATTTGCCACGCCGCCGCGCGCGGCGAATCGTGCGACAATGCATGACAAATTCTCGATCTTCATCAGTACGTCGATTGGAGCAGCGAAACTTTCATAAATCCAAGCAGAGACAAGACCACATGACGTGCGATATCAAATTTTCCAACTCCTTCGACGCTTATGTGCGAACACCGGACGAGATAACTCGTCCGGCATCCGCTCGCCACGCCCACCACAGCATATTACGATTGTCTTATCATAC